TTAACCCACTCACCTCTTTAAGACATCATATCCACCCAAGACGTAACAGTCACCGTGAGGTCTTTTTATTTCTGCCTCTGGCCCGTACTGTTAAATATTGTCGGTTCTATTCTGTAAATGAAATTGCTATTTGGAGTAAACTACCCATGAGTGTGAAAACTCTGCAAAATTATCCTTTATTTAAGAGAACTATTACTCGATTTTTGCATTCAGAAAAGCTATCACAAATTTTGGGTTCTGAATCCACTGATCGACTCTACCGTAGCGATGGCGTTTGTGGTCTCTGAACACTATGGCCGGACTCGCCAGCTGTTCCTCACCGTCCCTACTTTGACTATCCCCAACTTTATGTAAGGAATTGACGTCTGATAATCTCCGATACCGTGCAACCCCGCCCCCCCCCCTTCTTGACGGTCGAAAATCTACCACCAGCAGTTTTTTCTCCTGAACCCTCCAAACCATGAAAACCCCCATCAACTATATTTTTTTTCTTTACCTCAGGAGGTTTTTTTCCCTGTTGGTCGGATTTGTGTTTAACCGCTTCCCTTGACAATGCCTGTAAACTGGCATTAATCAAATTATTATTATTATTATTATTATTATTATCCAGCTTTCCACGAATATGATCAGGTTAGTGTGGCAGGATCTACCACCTCTAAATCCATGTTAATGCTCCATAAGCAAGCTTTTCTCCTCAACATGTCTTATCAGCTCCCTTTTCACGATTTCCTCCATTATTTTACAACAATGCTTGTTCGATTTATGGTAAAAGCTTCTTTCCTCTTTTCAGCGTTGCGCGCCCAAGTGAAAATCGCCTGCCCAGTTTTTATGAAGTTAATTGACATCTTGTTAAAGTTTTCTAAGATATGGAGGCAGTGTATCATTCCACCTTTCAGAAGATAACTATTAAATTCTTTCTTATATAAATGTATCTAAAATAACTTATGAAGTCGGAAATCATTTTCGTCCATTATCGTTTTCATGGTCGATGATGTTTAGGTGTCTTAATGCTTGCCCAAACTTATACCAAACAAATTATTAGGTCTCTTTTGCAGTCTCTTAAGCTGGTAAAATGATAGAAATTTTATTGTAGTCATTACTTCTTTGTCTCACTTATGCGCATGCTGAGGATTGGATTTAAAAGCTCCAGGCCGCATGACGACAATGGATTTCATTTACATATTTGGTAAGGATGATAGGCAAGGTCTTCGAAGACCCCGCTGATTACACATTAGTACGTTATATACAACTGTACTCTTATAACAAAAACTGTCCCTATTTAAATGGTACTCGCGTGATTGAAGAAGCACTGTTTCCAAAAGTAGACTTCCTGGAGTTCACGAGGTATTTAGCTCAGGTTAAAGCTATCGAGGGGAATCAAGCGACACAAATAATCATCCAGACGTTTCTTGAAGAGCCGCAGGGACGTCGCCTCCACGACTGACTGAGGGAGATCGTTCCATTTCTCCAATACCCTTTGTGTAAAAAATCCAGAGCGGAGATTCAGCCTGAACACTTTGGTGCGTAGGTTCATCGAGTGGCCACGAAAATTAAGCGATAGGTGCTACCGATACATGTCCTCAAAGATATGTCCATGCTTAAGGCCATGTATTTTCTTGTAAAACATGAAAAGCTAACCTCTTTTCTACCTGTAACGCAGAGGGAATAAATAAAGGCTGTTGAGCCTTTATGTGCACATCTGGTTTTTTAAACTCTTTGCCAGCTTTCTGCACGGCGGTGTACTTAGCCGAGGCATGTTTGGTCCTTTGTTAGACAGATTCTATATGAGGCCCTGCAGAAGTGCCGTAAATCCTCCCAAAATAATCATTGTCAAAGGTCACAAACACCCTTTTGATCGCATGGAGTATTATTATGGCCTTTTTTTACAGTCCTGGTGTACTGCTGCCGGTTTCAGTTTGCTCTGTATCCAAACGCCGAGATCCCTCTGCAATGATTCCGCGTGAAAAATTTTATCATTCAGGTGATAAACCCTCATGCTGTGGTTTGGATTAGAGTCGGTTGGACGCAATTGAGGGACGGCACACTTCTGTATATTAAAATCTAGAAACCATTTTTGGGCCACGTTCGTAGTCGGTGCGGATTATCTTGAAGGGAACTCTGATCATTCGGACCCCAAAGGACTTGCCAGAGCTTGGCGCCATCAGCGAGAACTGAGCCTAAAGGCACACCACTTGTCACTTTCACCCAGTCTGACATATAATCTCCGGTACAGACACACTGTTTTCGACCAACCACAAACGTCCTTATCCAGTTCAGAAGACCTCCACGGATGCCGACGACACTTAGTTTATGAAGAGGGCGTTGGTGAGGGACAGTATTGGATGGTTTGTTCATCATAGTGGCAACGACAAGAGCTTTCTTCGCTGCAACAGATGCCGAGTGAGCTTTTGGTGAAATTTCGGTCGGCTTTGAGTGAGACTTCAGAAGATTAGTCAAGGGAACTAGTGTTTTTTCACAGTTGGGGATGAACCTTCGGTGGTATTTGATGAGACCTATGAAATGTCGCAGCACAGTAAGTGCCTTGGGAGCAGGGAAGGAAATGACGCTCGGTACTTTTTCTATAAGTGGTGTGACTCTATGCTAGTCGACGAGGTGAGCAAGGGAATCGAGAGAGGAGACGCCGAAGACACATTTGTCAACGCATGATTGCAAACTGTGATGCTAGAAACAACCAAATATCCGGCGTTAGTGCGAGACATTTTCCTTTACCGAATAGGCTGCAACGAGTATGCCATCGATGAAAACAAAGGTGAACGAGAGACCACGCAAGACCTCATCGATAAAGCGCTAGAAGGATGAAGTCGCGTCGCACAAGACAAAAGGCATGCGATGAAATTCCAAAAGGCCAAAGTCGTTGTGATGGCGGTCTTGGGGATGTCTTCTTCAGTGACCGGTATCTGATAGTATGCTCTCTTTAGGTCTATTTTGTAAAAATTGTTCTTCCTGCCAGCGTGTGTGAGAGGAATCGTGGATTTGGGGGGTGGGGAACCAGTTGGGAATATTGGCTTTGTTGAGAACGCGATAGTCACCGCATGGTCTCCAATCATCAGTCGATCTCTTGGGCACCATGCGGAGTGGAGAAGCCCATGGGCTGGAGGAAGGGCAAATAATCCCTAAACTCATCATTTGTTCAAATTCTTCCTTCGTTATTTGAAGCTGTTCAGGGTGAAGACGGCGAGCAGGAGCCTGAACGGTTTGCCCCTTGGTAACGATCTGATGTTTGACCGCATACTGAACTTCCTCGGTGAACTGACAAGGTTTAGGAAGGGACGAGTAGGTCCTCAAAATGTCCGCGAAAGACGAGATCGATACGGTCAAGTGGATGCAAAATAAGGGTTCAGAAGCGGCAACACACAATTTGAAAAGCTTGGTTGTGGTATCGACTAGTTTGCTGTGCTTCAGCTTGACTGCAAGGCCAAAATTTGACAGGAAATCTGCCCCGATAATTGGACATTGAATGTCATTCTGCGCAAAGGCCCACCGGAAACGTCGCTGGGGACCGGTGTCAAATGCAAGCGGGCGTTGTCCTTAGGCGTTGATAGTGTTGCATTTGACGATTTGCAAACAAAACTGCGAAGGCTTGAGGTGGTGGTTCCTAGAAGGCGGGCTGACACTGATCTCAGCACAAGTATAGACAGGAAAACGAAGACCACTTTACTTGTCACTGATGTAATATAGGCGACCGATTAGCGACTGGTCGGCAGACGCTGTCGCAATTGTTGGCTGGGGTGGTCATTTCCCTGTGGCAACACCTGCAGGAATGTGCATAGTGGGATGGACCTGCGTGCTTTCGGACCGTAAGTAAGATGATGCCAGCACAGAGTTTGCGAGTGATGTTCACGTGGCTTAGAACTACAGGGTGAAGACGAATGGTTTCGGGCCGACCGCAGGCTATTTATAGAAGTACACATGGTGCTCACTTGTGTTCACGATAGACGTACAATGTCCCTTAGGTTTTCATAGTCACTTCGCTGAGGACTGTTCAGCTCTCTTGAGAGGCTTGATGACGTGGTGACCCTACGTGATGCGCAACAACAGGATGACAGTCCCACACGAGAAGCGTCGCGTTCTAACAAGGGGGTGTCTTTGGGACCAGAAGTGGCGACTATCCGAATTGCTGTCGGGAGACGATGTCTGCCGAAGATGAGCGCACAACGCGCCGACCGGCTAACATTATCTGATTCCGTCTGCATTGTAGACCACTTTCCCTAAAGAGGTATTAGTGTCCAGCATGGCCAAGTCCTGCTGCATGAGAACCGGCAACTTTGCTAACCAAATTTGCCGAAAGATTGTATCGTCCATATCACGACCGGCGAGCAACAAAACAATGGCAAAAAGCAGCAGACGGACACAAAAGCACGCGCAGTCTCAAACCGAAACCAGACGTGTGTATTTTAGCAAATTTTAAGGACAGTACAAACAAGTTCGGGCGTACAATACAGTTCAAAGTGAAAAAAGAAAATGTACATAGTCAATTTAAGTCATCTTATTAAGTCAATGAGGCTTTCGCCCTTGAGCTCCCTATTCATATCTTTAAACAGGAATAGAATCCATTGTTGCATCAGCAAATGTGAAAATTCAAAATTTCACGGTAGGTGTGAGCCAGGTGCAGACCACCGCCGCTCAAGCAATTATGATTATATGTACAGTACAGCAAATGCGCGTCTATTCTACATTTAAGGGATTTAAAAGTTTCCGAAAGAACCTGCAAACCTAACCTTCCCTATCTGGATTTTCACCGAGAAGTGCAGTATTAAGTTTTGACCAGAGTCTCCTATATTCCTGATGAAATGTGCATTTTCATGCCATGGATCGCGCGCACTCGAAGAAGGACTCCTTGACCAAAGTCATTCATTGTTTGTGGCCCCTGAGTATAAGAGGCATCTTGTGTTGCGTGCGCTAGTTGTGACCTTGAAATTCTCCCGTCGCTTCTCGTCTCTACCCCAAATGTTTTGTTGACATGCTTTATTTGAAGTCGGATGGACCGAGCAGTTACCCCGCTCTTAGATAAGGAGAAACAGTATAGGTAATGCTTCTTGATGTCTCATACACTTCCATGCTTCCCTTATCGTCAACTGGTGCACTTATGAATTTATATATTTTACGATCGTGCATCTTTACGGCGTTTTATTATTATGGGCAAATTATAATTGAGGGATTCCTCACACTTCTATCTTAATGCAACTTCCTTCGTACAGTTCAAATTCCCTGCGTGTTTACGGTCGCCTAGTATACCATTGAGAAGATCTTCTCCATCGATGGATCGTTTTGGCAAGTGGTCGCAACTAATATATTTCCCGAATGAAGGCGAAATTTCGAGTTCCAGGTGTATGCATAAGTGAAGAAGAAGGGTCAAGACAATAACCAAAGTGTTCCGGTGCTCGACTTTTCTTCTTCAATTTATTTCCCTATTAGGGTTCTGCCATTATCTGCATGGCTTAGAGTTCGTTCTGTAGTCGATTTACACAAGCATTTCATGCGGACTGATGGCGTTTTTAGATAGTGTATTCTGTAACGCAGAGGATCGTGACTTATATGGCCTTCTAGTGGCGTTCCTTCTCATTTGTTCAGCAGTCTTTGTGCTACAAGTCATCCGCGTTGCAAAAACTCTTCCACTTAAGATTGACGATGGGCGGACTGTCATGCAGAGTTTAGATTACCTACGTGCCAGACAGGAAGTTCACACTCGCTTTCGCCTCACTGTAGAACTCGACTTAGTTATCAGAGTCGGTTGTGTCCGCCTGATTGCGTGCCTGAAGATTGTACCGCAGACTTCGGAAAGTTGAGGGTAACTATACTTGACTAAAACCTCCAGGGCGGTCGATATTCTCAAAACGTATGGACGGTTAGTGCATTTATGTGGTAAACCTTCGGCATACTCGGCCAAGTCCTCTTGATGGTCCGTTCCTGGTTTACACTTTCTCGATTTATTTTTATGGCAACAGGCCTCAAAATCTTGTCTACGAAAGAGCTGGCAATCATCGCATGATTGCAATCGAACTCAGTTTCCCGAACATATCGGTCATAACCTAACGTAACACCAGTATCCTCCGTAACACAATTTAAAGTACCCAATCCACACTTTAGATATCTTTTGGAAAACTGCCCTTACCAGGTGGTTTGTCGCTCCTTTGTTTCTTTATCCGAGGAAGAATTAACGTAGCCAGAGGACCATAACTGCAGCTGCTTTAGGGGGTCGGGAATTCCGCAAATTGGGTCCTCTGTCGGATTCAGGAATTGTGAATTGTAAATTTTCCATTTGATTTTTTCAGCGACACTGAAACCCTATCTTATCACCGATGGCTAGAAAGAAGAAAGTTACCGAGGCTGGCTTATCAAAATTTCGTGCAGACACCTCTTTTCGCCGTTGACTGAAGCGCGTTTTCACTATGGACATAACTGCACCATTTTCGTAGCGGGCGTACAGTCTTATGAAAGTTACCTGCAAACAATGTCGTTCTGAAAATAAATACCTTTGGCCAGTTCGCTAGTTGGATCGATACCCCGTATACCCACCCACTGTGACTATACCCAAGAAACATAACCGGTCAAATGCGTGTTTTAGTTCGAATCAGTTGCCTTTGACCATCTACTCCTGTCAGATGTCTGTTGTTTGTGACTGTCGACAGAAGCGGTTGGACAAAATCGTGCAAGATTTCTCGACAGTAGTAAGATACTTGAAACCCAGCGCATAATGCGTCATAGGGCGTTCCCTTTCTAATACACGTAATTTCAGTTCTAACCAAACCACCGCGGAAGTATAGTCAGGGACATCCTCTTTCTGTGTCGAGGCATGTTGCCGCCAAAGACAGGCAGACTAAATTGGCCATATTGGATTCTCTTTTGTAATCAGCTAACCATAGAAAAACCATTGCCGGGAGGAGTCAGGGCAAAAAATAAACACCCGTTGCCGTATTAGGTATACTGGTGAGCACAATGTCTACATGCCTTTAAAGCAACTCAAAGACAGCTTCAGAAGTGTTAATAGGCCTCTGGACTTCTTACGAGAACCTAGACTCATGGTCTAATATTTATTTTTTTTTCACGGAAATTGGTATTGACAGCAGTCAGCAGATCTTCCGTTGTATTCGGCGAACACCACAATTGTCATCAGTCTTGCTCTTCTATATCCTTTCAGTCATGAGTGCAAATACTTGTCCACGACCTTTTGAGCTTTGTACACTTATGCAAGCATTGGAACACGCCCGCAAGCTTCAGTGTCAGCAGCTGAGGAAACTAATATGAGCATGCTTTCATCACATATATGCGTGCCATCGTGAGCTTTACAAGCATTAGTACCTTAGTTGTCCATATGCTGACTACGTCTCCAGCCGCAAGCCTTCCAAGCCATGTGTCCTACGATCTTTATGCTGGTTCAAAAGTCAACCTTGCGGTTGATGTGGTCGTAGGTAGGCTCGCGTCCACAGTGTTCCGAAAACTCAGCTCTTTAAATCAACCTTATATCTACCTTGATTTACACAACTGACCGCTCATTTTCATCTTACGGGGTAAGTTTTCCACAGAATACAGTTCTTCTGCAGTTGCCGTCGTCCTCGTGATGCCATTGGCAGGCGGAAGTCAGGCTAATGTAGTTAGGTTCATGAGAACTTTTATCACCAACGATACCACCACTGAACACTGAGTACCAGAATACGGGCAGGGACCGCGTGATTGCACTTCGCTCACAGGATGTGGGACACAGCAATGCAACACACCCGACCCCATGATGGATCGTCAGGGTCGTCATAAAACGATCTCCAGGAACATCAACAATCGCCTTTTATACTTCCCCACTCATGAAATCTTGCCTCCCCTTTACTTGTTTTACTGTTCCAGGACGACCGTTTATTTGTATTCTGACACCGTAATTTAAGGCCTGCACAGTTTTCTTAGGCCAAATTACCCGACTCTCGTATACCGACATGTATTGTTCTTCTGACCGGTTTAGACATCACTATGCTTCTGACTCTGTCATGATAGCCTCGGTGTCGTACCTTGTGACGACCGTACCTTTTACGCATGAAATAAGTTTTTTTTTCATGCACGAACTTATGCCGACAGCCTTCTATGTGATTCGTTCTTTATTCCTCTTAGGAGTCTGAATGAAGAACTGAAACAAAAATCAGACCGACTGATTAGAGAAGCTAATGAAATCATCGTGTGTTGCTGCACCTGGCTGTTTTCTTACCCTTTATGTTTTCATAGAATTCAGCCAAGCTAAATGTTGAGGTTCCAGTAAGTGCAAAGCCCGCTCAGCATCCACCGGAACTTCCCCAACAAGCAATAAAATTGCAGGATTCGGTAGGTGACCCATTCTATAAAAACCCTCAGGACTTTAAGAAACGTAAGTCTGCGCCCTTATCAGGTCGTTCGACCCTTTTAAACTCCGTTACAGTCACTGGCTATAGTGAAAATGCCCTGCCCTACATAATGTTTGGCTATTTAACACATTCTCCAATGACGAGACACTCGGCGGTTTATTTTAATTAACCTAGCTAGTGACCTACTAGTTAACAATGGGCATTCTGTGCAACTATCAGCGAATTGCATCATCGTTCATTGACCTCTGTCTGGCATCAATCTATTCTTGTCGGGGCCCTAACTAAAAACTGGTTAGCGGCAAACGACTCCTGCTAATTAGGAGGCAACCTGTACAGGCAATAAACTAATTGATATCACAGGAATAATTGCGAGCCCCATGCATCCTTAATCATTTTCGTCGTTACTTTGACACAAAATCCTCACACCTCTTCTCATTTTTTTTCGTTGCAGTTGGATAGCGAATGTAATGGGGATAATGCTGCCGCTTCCGCCGCCACCGAGGCGGAGGAGGAAGAGGCCGTACTGGGGCCTGTGAGGAAGTTGGGCACGCAGGCGAAAACACGTTACTTGGTTGCAAAAGCCCGTGCTTTGGAGGAGGACAATGAAAAACTTCATGCCGAGTTGAAAAACGCGGTGAGCGACAGTTAACTGCGACTGACTTTGGTCCCATTTGGTTACTGTGGAACGAAATTAGTAGTTTGCCGACTTTTCTGGTCTTTTAGGACTGTTTTTCTATAACAGTATGCAACCACATTTTGAGTAGTGTGCCAGATCCAGCCGCTTGAGAGACTTCGGACTCCCTTCATTTGCGCATTTTCTGTGAATACTTGTGGCTAGGTTTACTTACCCCTTCCGGATAGTTGTGCATGTCACTTACACAGTCTCCTAACCATCGAAAAGCGCCTGATCTGGGACGTTTTTAAGTCAGTACATTTATTTATATTCTGACTGCAACATGGTTATCAGAGGTTTCTCCAGTGTAACTGATGCCTCTTTAAAGTTAAGCTGTTTCCCCAATGGGTCCCACAGTCATCCCAACAAGTTTTCACTATTGTTCTGTGCTAAATTTGAACGGTTAGGTCCGTCAACTTCCTTCCACCAATTTCTTTGATTAAGTGACCTCACTTGTTTGCCATTTCCATGCAGGATCGCGACATCTTGGGGTATCCAGTTTACAGTAGTTTCGGCTTCTGAGGTCTTTTGCCAGATTGGACTTCCTCCTCCTCCTCCTCCTCCTCCTCCTCCTCCTCAAAGAACACTATATAATGCCCCCTACTTCCAGTATTGTAATCTCACCCTGGCCTCGTATCTTTACAGATTAGGTGAAGAAATGTGTGGGTGCTGCCGAAATGGATCGGAGGAGACTTTAATTCTGATGATCCTTAAATGAGCAAGTAGAATGTCAAGTGAACCCTGACTGAAAAAATTATAATGGTTTCTCGCGACGATTGACATTGGGACTAGTTAGACCAGCTTTGTTGATTGTTTCTGTTATTCTGAGCTGGCAGATTTGTCACGGTGCGCTGAAAGCCGCAGTTTAGAAGGCAGCCAACTGGCGGGATGACATGGTCCTCCTTTCCGGATGGAAGAGTCGGGCTACAATGACACCACTTTAACGTAACCGTTATGATACTCCCACTTGGTTGCGATCGGAGCCGCCCTCGTTCGTGTGGAATCCTGATCTATCGTGCGCGAAGCGTGGTGTGGTGACACACCTAGATACGGGTTCACACCGCGCCACCCACCGGCGCCCGCCCCGTCTTCCGATCGTCTTGACTTTTTCATGACACCTGGATAAGGAGGGTGAGGAGGAGAGAGCGCACTGGATGCAGCCCAAGTCAACAATCACTATAAACTAATTCATGCACAAGTCGCCGTCCCCTGCTGTTTGGCACACGGTGGTTTTCATCGGAATCGACGGCCAGACTGTCGGGTTGTGGTTAGCCTGGCTGTTTTAAGAAGCGAGACCTCACCTCACATTCACCTCTAAACGGCCGTTAGATCATGGGACCAGGTGGCTGATGTCAAGAATTACGTTAGTCTTCACAAGAAGCCCACAAGAATCTTCACAAGAATCTTCACAAGAAGCTTCACAAGAATCGGCAGATATTATGTCGTAATCATCCCCAACACCACCACCACCATCTGGTTCATTACCACCACCGATAGTAATATGGACATCGTTACCGCAACCACTGTTTTCGCCCACCGATATCTCCATATCGATTTCTAAGCTGCTCCTCATTGTTGTTTTTGAAAGACTGATGAGATAACTCGGTTGACGGCACGCCTTCAAGAGATCGAAACCGATCGTACCAAGTTGCAGCGTCTCGCTGGTAGTCAAGGTACTCAGTTGGATCGCTTGAAGACGGATCTTGAGGAGGCCCGCAACCGTGCCGACAGTCTTACAAACGAGAAGAATGCATTGGAGCGTCAAGTGGAGACGCTGAAGCGAGCCAGCGACCAGCAAACATCTTCACAGAAGACCGTAGGCATCCGGCTGAATCGGGCTCTCGAGGAAGTTGAGAAACATCGCGGCGAAGCTGAGCGCGCCCGAACGGCAGCCCGCGACTCAATGGAGGCCTCAAAGCGACAGATTGACCAACTAACCACCGATAACCGTCGCCTAGAACGTCAGAAGCAGGAGCTTATTGTGGGCTTCAAGAAGCAGATGCGCCTCATTGATGTTCTACGAAGACAAAAGGTAGCGTTTTTGTGACAGTTACCAATACCCGGCGCATATTCAGTTTTCATGAAGAGTTTCATGCATTATATAGTTCTTGCAGTTCGAAGTAGAAGGCTCAAAATCTGTGCTTCTTAATTAATCCGGGTTTCATAGTAAAAACATCCTGGCATCTTTGGAAAACCGACGAGGAACGAATATGGCAATGTTACTGTCTCAGTAGAAGGTACATTCCCCAGCGTTCCTTGCCCAAAATCTAGCACTTTTTGAAATTGCGGAAGGCCATTGAACTTCGGCCGCTAGCCCCGAGCACTCATCGAGAAAAATGAATTAGAAGATTCATTTCGTGGTAGCAATGTCATTTCATGTCCCTGGTTAGAGTTTAACTCTACCAGGGCCACTAGGGAAACTTAGACGATCTCACTTAGTCAGAAGCCCTGTTTTCATTGCACGTGTGTAGTCGTTATTTCGGCCTATTGCATCGTTTCTGTAAACGATGTAAGTCAGCTCTTTTCTTGTACAATAGCAGGCTTATCTCATGAAGTGTTAGTCGAAATTCCGAAATGTGTTTTCGATTAGAAAGGATTACTTAGGTGAGGTTGTATGATTGATTATCGTGAGGCGTAAACGCAAGATATTTCGAGTTGGGCAGAATACCAACTTTTGAACAAGCTTCTCCCCGGCCGCCGGGAAGAGCTGTACTCGGTAAGAAAATGACTGCTTCGTTAGTATGAATTTTTTCCATTGATATCTTAATGGCGTAAACAAATGTGCTATTTGCCTTACACAGAAAGTATAAGCCATGTAGTTTAGAAACCCCAAGTGCAAGTGCAACTGTAGATCGTAGTCAAGGTTATTTGAGAATTGGATAGGTTTTCTAAAACCGAAAAAGCGTAATTCGCTACCAAATGAGTGCAATAAAGAATGTTTTTGGGCACTTTCCCATAAAATACGTTCGAATTTGTAAGGGCGTCGAATATACATACGAGAAAGTCATACTGCATCAGTATTCATTTTTATAGGAAGTAGTTTGTACAGATTCCCGAAGAGGAGCTCATTGTAAGGTCTGCCTCCTGTCGTGACCAGCGTTAAAACGCTACCTAAGCGTTTCAAAATCTCGGTGAACATTTTATGGGATAGACCAACTATTGTATATGCATCCGACGTGGATAGGACCGCGCTGACTAGGCAGTTTGTTTAATATGCCCCTGGAACGTTGGGCTCCTTGTTTGAAAGGACTGACTTTTTACAAAGCTTTTTCTCGTTTTTTTTGTTGCGCAGATGCTTGCTGAGGCCTCTCGAGCCCTGAAGATCACAGAGGAAGAGTTTTTGAAATCACTCGACTGGCAGACCAAATAGGAAACCGAACACATTCCAAACGTTCCTCCCTCAGTCGACTGTTTCACTTTCATGTCCGTTGACGTTATTTTCCCCTTCTTGTTGTTTCCTTTTTTTTCTTTTGTTGCATTTATCTCCCGTCCGTGCCTTTCCTTCCACGCTCGAAGTCACTTTTAACATTAGTCTTTACGCTGCACTCATCCATACGCCTAGGAATAATAATATATGACTTTCGGAAGCCAATTTGTTGTCTTCTGCCTGCCTGCCGCCCGTCCCAACATCTTTATCCACCTCTACCCTTCAGGTAATTCAGTGACCGTCGTCCTAAGCTCACCTCCCACTGATCAAACCGGTCACTAGCCAGTAGCTAACCCTATTTTTGGTTTGACCCAGACCATACCCTATATTGGCAGCCCGCAGTATGTCTCCGGCCAAACCGTTCCATGTGGCGTATTCACAGAAGCTTTTCGTATAGCTTCGCTCCAAACTTTAGACATTCCCGGTTGTCAAATTAATGCTTCGTAAGCTACCGCCAGGCAGTATCCCGTCATCCTTTTCATCCGCCACGGTCTTTTAATAGGCTATTCAGTTAGCGTCGCAAAATCCATCCAACTTCTGGTTCTCAGCTTACCACGACGATAACTAATGTCATTTCATAGGGTTGGCGTATTGACTTGCTGACTAATCATGCTGTAGTGTTGATCGCACACATCCAGCTTCCAGTCGTAGAAGACAACCATGAAACAGTAAACTGCGGGGAATGTTTGTCGTCAGTGGCAATAGACTTTTGAAACCTTTGTTTCTGTGATGTCGATTGTTTGACCAGTGGATTTGGGAACCTACATGTCATAACTCAGTATAAGTCGTAGCTGAAGAAATGGGGTACGGCGTCACCGACGAACTCCACCTCAAGCTGCTGCCTCACACTTTGTATAGTAGGTCTTCGATTTGGATGCCCGGACGCAGTAGGCGGGAACTCATGTGGTGATGCGGTCGCTCCTCGAATCTGCGCTCTGCCCGAGGACCACGTCCCAATGACCATCTTTGACGAGCGGGCTGAGAAAGATGAAGATATGCAGTGTGCATGCTTCCACACAAGGGGATCCCTTCGTTAATCCCAGTACGTTTTCCCTCCAGAAGACAGACAATTCCGAAAGTGACCCAATCGAGCTCGGATCGTTCCCCCTCTATAAATGCTGCACTGGACTGTATCATCACGCTCCAAAATGCCTGGATTGGAAGACTACTAACAGACAAACTAATTATGTCCTTCGTCGGAAGAAAGGTCAGACTGCTGTAGCTACTTCGTGAGGGCCTTATATCAGCCCATTTCTACAAACGCCAAACCCCGGTGTGGTACGTGTTAGACTGTGACTGTCCATCACTTGGCGTCAGCCAGGGCGTCCTGCCCCAGCCAGTTGGACTCAGGCAAACCACTAGTACATGGGAAAGGAAGGAGAGGCCGAGGTTAATGTAACCCGGTCCTGAGGCTTAGTTCCCCACTCTAAACAACGATAGGTTTTTTTGGACGTATCGCGACGCGCCAACAGTTGGGGCGTGGAAGTCCCCAGTTGCGGCGACAATCGGTTTTTACTGAGGACCGAGGGACAATCTGGACCGTCTTCTTGATGTGACTTATACGACAGTCACAATTGAATGAGATCCGAAGTACCTCACTGAACGGGGTCATGGTACGTGCGAAGTTAGGAACCAGGTCGCGTGTGATACACATGAATGAACAGTTTAACTTTGCCAGTCACTTCACACGGGAAATCACAATCCTCCCAATTTTTGACCGGAGCCGGCTAGGATGGACCTTTATAGTCACTAAGATTCCTGCCTTCGCCTGTTGTTTCGCGCAAGGCCCCTGTATTCTGTGCTTTCATCGTTAGCGAAAGATCAAATCCCCAGACCTGTGGTCATCTAGTACAAGGTGGTTGCTCAATCACATAAACTCCCTTTCATCTGGCACCCGCTTTAGCGAGAATATTGTTGACGGGCGGGGAGAATGCAGAATGCACGCCCTTCCCACCAGTCAAATCGAAGAATACTCATGTGCCTGACTGGCCGCTCCCGTGATGGCAGATTGGGAGGGGGCGGACTTTATGTCCGGGTCGCAAAAGGAGCCACTTAATGTCACGTGACAACGGCGTCCAACGATCGAACCTGATTGCAGGATTGAAGACGGGTTCTTCGTCTCACCTTGGAGCTCAGATCCGCAGCCCTAACAGATAATCGCCATAGCGAAGAACATTCACCAATCGATAACCTTCACCGAGAGGAACGACTGGTATGGACATTTTGGGCTTAGTTACAATCGTCGGTCATCTACACCCCTAGATCAGCAGTTGACTGAGCGGTCGATTGGCAGTTGGACAGACGCCTTGACGCACGTATAACCATCCCTGTTAACGGTGATGCACTCTAGCAAGATAACTGTGTTGGGGGCCAGTTAAACGTGGGACATCTGTTTCGAACTTCAGTAAACGCCCGTCTGTCCAGTGTAATTCTAAGTGGTTTGAACACTCGCGCTATTTGTGGACTTTTCTGATCATAAATTTGGTTGGGTTAACTTCTGTGTCACCGTTTCTGCCTCGCTTTTCCCACCAACTTGCTGTTGTTGCGTCGCCTAATGGGTTCCAGGGTGAATGAAATTGTCCCAGCAGTTGAATCTCCTATTTGAGTGGCATCGGGCCACCAGTTATCTCTACCGTAGTTCTAACGGTAGGACTGACTGATATGGGCCCCCTAAACGGGACATGAGAACAGGTACTGCCTACAGTGCGGGTGGCTTTAAGCCAACTTCCAGTGTAATCAGGGCTAGGTTCAGGGTTAAGGTCAGGATTAGATTTAAATTTAAAGGTGAGTTAAGTCAGGATCGACTATAGGGTTAAGGTAGGAGCTAGTGTTAGCTGCAGCGTTAAGGTTTAGGATGAAGTTAGGGCGAAGATTAGGGCAAGAGTTTAGTTTTATACGAGGGTTATTGTTGGGGTTAGGACACGGGAATATTTTGCCCTTTTCGGAATAGTGCACAGGTCCACCGTTATTACTTGGACGGGGCGTGCCTATTCCCGTGTCCTGTTTATGGGGCTAAATAAGTCAGTCCTACCGTTTTAACGAGTATGAAAAGGGCTTCTGCGTCACATGCTTCAAGCGCATGCACCGAAACAGTGTTTTAGTGAGTTCATGTGCATTGAAGGGATTTGCCCTAGTCAACCAACAAATCTTCGACTTTGCCAGATTAAGAAGCAGTCGCTTATCCCCGGGGGGTCGTCCCCGAAATCCGGCACAGGCTGTTCACATAGAGTTTAATGTGCTGTAAGTTCCGTTTACCTTGCTTAACGAGATTTGTCCGTCTGTCCGCCCAATCACTAGATTTATTACGAGGACGCGTAGGTGACTCTTATACACAAACACACGTTCTACCACCGTTTTCCTGGAGTTTACTAACTCAAGAGCAAGACTCGATGGATACTTTTGTCCATATTGTCGGACTGGGCATTTATGCTGGTAGTATATTCGATAATTCGTCCATCGTGATGTTTTGCGTCTACGTTTGACTGGGGAGGTAGCGGTGGCATACACTCGAAATTCTCTATAGCAGGGAACACCTGCGTTTCATCTGCTTTTTCCCTCTATTTCCACTCTTGCCGTGCTCCACTGAAGATGGGTGTGGGAGCAGTGCTTGCACTGCCATGTGCCGTTTGAGGCTTGGCCGTAAGCGCACACAAATTAGATCTCAGTATCACGGCGAAATTTGCCTGGCAGTCATGACTTAACTCATTACAGTAGTTAAAACGCGTGTCCGATTTGATGTAATTAAGAAGAAAGGGTTGGACCGACCGGAATTTCTCCCTCTTCTTCGATTGCGAACCAGTAGTAAGTCAGAGTTAAGCTGATTACAAATTAGATCATGTGCGGCGGCGGACGTGGCAAGAGGCCCATCTACGCATGACCCGTCCGTGCTGGTTGTCACATACACGAACTCGGAGCAGATCCCCCACCGGCGTCATTGGAATCTGACCGTCAGTCCGGAGTAGGACCGAGTTATTCCTTTATGAAATTTTCTTAATAGACTTTTGCGGAAACGAATCTTTTATATGAGTCCATAACCGTACGGTTGTTAAATACGAATCGTAGATGTACGCCCTCAACCTCACCTCTACTATAACTATAAACTTAACTGGTCTCCTTGGCTCTTGTTAACCCTAACTTCACCCGTAGCTTTTCCGGTAAACGTCTCCACAGTAATTGGAATATTATAGATTGGAAAATTGAAGCCGCAAGTGGTGTTTAGGGAACCATTTCGACCGTCTACAAACCCGGTTAACATATATTCAACTTTGTGTTATTTTACGATGTACTTCTCTGCCAATTCACTCAACCCCTCCGCCTGCTCCAGCATGGATAATTCAGCCGGCGACACTGTCGTGTCGGCATTTGACGCAGTCGTCCCACCTCCTCACCCTCCCGGCGAGCTAATCCGTCAGGGCGCCGAGGCGCGCATATACTCAGCCCAACTCCTCACGACGATGCCCAAACCATGCATTGTCAAGGAACGCTTTGTTAAGACCTACCGGCATGAGGCCCTCGACGCCCTTCTCTCTCTCAAACGGATGCGTGCAGAGGCCCGTCAATTACTTAAGTGTCGCCAACTGGGCCTGCCCGTGCCGGCCATTTACCACGTGGACATGGCTCGACGACAGCTCTGGATGGAGGATGTGGGCCCAAATGCGGTCCCCCTCGGTGCCTGGCTCTCCTGCCTCCTACAGGATGAGGATCTGGACCGGGAGCAGAAAACAGAGAAGCTCGGTACAATGGCTCATCGTCTGGGTGCCCTGCTGGCCAAGATGCATGCCAGTAATGTGGTCCACGGAGACCTGACCACTGCAAACATTCTCGTTCAGATGGTGAGTTTGCTCAGATTGTTGTTGCTTACATTATGCGGCTGTTTATATTTCCAGCCGATCTTTCGTAGCGATCATATGTGCCGAAAAGCTAGATTTGGCCGTTCCGATCAGCTAGAGGGGCGGTTTCGGGAATAATCAGACGGATAGATTTAATTGATCACACTGAGATTCGGAAGTTGATTTTACTTTTTAGACGAAGTCTCAGTATTCGAAGATATTTCTGAAACTGAGTGACGTTTGCCGAGCGCCTTTTTCCACAAAAGTACAATGTCATGGTTGGGGGCTAAGGGCCAGATGCAGTCCTATAGCATGAATGCTCTAGGTGTAAAATGCCAGATCCAATTTAGGATAAGTACAATTTTAATGAATGTCATGCGACTCTTTGTGCCGCCCTTTTCGTTTAGATCCACTTAACATTTAAGAAACGAGTGACCTAAATTGCTATTTCTGCTCCGTTTACTTGTTATCAATCAGCCATTTCTCATCCGTAGACCAGGAACATTAATTTGAATTTGTTACATCTGTGATCGTGCCGGTCTAGGTGACTTTGGTAGTATAGCTGGCTGTACCTCCAGGCATGACAATTTGCGTCGGCGAATCTAGTTGTCTCCACCCATCCTCTTCTCCAGCGGACGATGTAGAATCTGCTCAAACGACCTCAGTCGTCTTTCATGGATAATCTGGAAGGTCCTCGAAGTGTTGCCTGAGCGAATACGGACTCTCACATTTCAGACGAAGTTTATTTACTTCACGCGAGGTATGGTTCTCAGATCAGGAACGCCTGAGACTATGGTTAATACACTTCCATAATCACATTTGACAGCATTAGTCTGTGGTTTACCTGGTAGATCGTTACAACCAAAGGCCACTTGAGCCTAGACCCCTCCGACCTGCCGTTAGGATTTGGCCAGCTGGCAAAGGAAGTCGGAATCGGCTGTGTCTCTCTTCCTTGTCTTCGTCAGTAATTCTTTTCAACTATCGAGCGTTTGTCTTACGCGACTTGCTTTTTTGTCTGCCTCTTGGTAAGACATTTTTGGAGTCCGAATTCCTTTGGGAACCATAGAAAGCAGTTTTTGAAGAAACATCAATGAGCACTTTCCTATTTCTCGGTTGGTAGATGACTTGATTCGGTGATACAAGTTTTGTAAAGCCCATCGAACTCTTTTTCAAAAGGACTCGGATCCTCGCCTTATCTGCTTGAAATTCCGGCTTATAAATCGAGTCTTCCTCATGTATGGTATTTTCGACACAAAAATAAGTCGGACTTATGTGCGCGCGAATTCAGTCGTAACCCAATCGCATTTAAAAAAGCCCTTATTTTGACATCTTCCTGTTACATTTGTTCTATGTTCTGCAACAAGGCGGGATGCAAATCTTTCTCGCCTGGAGGAGATAGAAGAAAGTTAGTCCTTTTTGCACCTTCCAAATGATTTTGGAAAACCTGACTAGACCTCTAAAACGAAAAAGGTCTAACAGCTATGAAATGACTTCGGAGATGTTTGGCTATATCCATCTAAATACCTCATAATGCGGATTTAGATATATTAAGACCAAGGACCAAATAATCATCAAAAGCGGCCAACATTTACGCTCAATTGAGCAAGCCAGGTCGGCGCGCAATACCGTTCCTCCGTCGCACATCTTTTCACCCACTATGAGTAAAAATCAGTGATCATAAGTCACTATTAATTCGTTATCAGTAGCTCTTTGTTTTTGTATGTTTAAGTAACCACCCCTATCGTCCCCACGGTAAGCCGTTACGTTAGGTTCCTTTCACACACAGAGCGGCGGCTGACTTGCTGACAAGGAGCATATATTATTTCCTCCTAATTATTTTCTTGCTCTCCTGAAGGATATCTCGGGCAAAAAATACTCCGACTACCGCCTCTTCCTCATCGACTTTGGCCTCTCTTCCATCAATCCCGTGACTTCGCGCTTTCGAGAAGAAGTTGCCGTGGACCTCTATGTACTCGAACGCGCCTTGGTCAGTTCGTTGGCTTGTCGAGAGGAACACAAAGAAGACGGACTTTTCAGCCCACAAGCCTTCTTTGCAGCATTTCTGGCCGCCTACTCGGAGGCTTATGCGGCACAGGTAGTTGCTCGTGGTAACGACGGTGGTGCTGGCGCCGGTGGGAGGAAGCAGTCGAAGAGGAATAGGCTGGAAGTCACCTCACCAGTCGCGGCACCCACTCTTGAAGATGGCCGCCGGGAGTTGGAATCCATACTTTCTGCCCTAAAGGAGGTGCAGGCTCGTGGCAGGAAACGGCTTATGATTGGCTGACGCCGGTTCTCCCAAACATTACTCTTTAAAATACATTTCTGTGCTTCAGCATTGGGAGCCTTTTCCGTCCACCTCAAGTTTCTAAGTAACACTATAATGCATAAATGGTCTGCATATGTACATATTTGTAGAAAAGTTCGAGTCTCAGAGCAGAGCGTTCCGTGAATTTTCGAACAACTTATGGATGCTGCCATCGAAAATAACCTTATTCACCGACAGAAGAATGTTATTCGTGGAGTCTCCTATGACAATTGTCTGTAAATAGGTTAGTTCTACTTGGTATAGACTGGGGAACAGATATCTTGTCTTAAAGAAGATGAACACACGGTCTCTGGGACAGTACGTGCATTAGTCTGAGCTTTCGATCTCGTACTGGAAGTCACCGTCAGAGACTGAGGATGTGGCGTCAAATGAGCAGTTTTCGTAGTCAAGCCATGAAGGGGGGGATAGGAGTGCAAGGGGTGGTGTTCGCGATAAGCTGAGTCCATGCCTTCTCACAGTGGCGTGACTGCGTGCACCCTTGGCTGGGAATTGGGTCTCGCCTCTTGGCCGCAGGACCGGAGCGCTTGATAGCAAGGGGGCATGTCAACGTGTCTGTTGATAGAGTTGGTGTCAGACATCCAGGCCTCCAGCAGTTTTCGCCCTGTCTTATTGCTGGCCCGCACCATTATCCACGTGCTCGCGAAGTTGAATTCGTGGCCTCCCTCCAGGGTGTGAGTGGCGACCTGAGACAACGGGTCGCCGCTCCGGACCGCCCGTTTATGCTCCGTTATTCGCGAGCTAAGCCGTCGTCCGGTCTGTCCTGTGTGATGGCGAGGGCAGTCCTGACATGGGATCTGATAAACGACGTCTGATTGTTCTCCTACATCTAGTCGGTCCTTCACTCGTATGATTTTGCTGCGCATGGTCACCGTCAGACGGTGAGCGATACCCACGCCGAGCTCTCCAGCGGTAAGTTCCACCACTTCGGACACATTACATATGGCAGAGGGTTCCAGACTGTTGGCGGCTCTCCTCCGTTTGGTCGCCGTGGGTGTGTGCGGAGGCAGCGGCTGACGAAGCTGTGTCTTTCGGCTTCCGATTGCTTCGTGCCTCCTGGGCGATTTGACGCACGTGGACATTGATTAAAAGAAGGATGGGCTACTGACTTTAAACTAATTTTGAACGTCTTAGACCGTAACTATGTTTTGCAGAGTCTTGGTTGCCTTACGATCGTTCCGGCCAAACCAAAACATTCAATTGAGGAAAATTGTGTCAATGGCTCGTTAGGGAAGCTAATTAAATCCTGACGCAGACTCAGGACGACAATTTCACATGATGTATTGAAGTATGACAAGTCCAAGACCCGATGGGTAATTGTGGCTAGAACAGGCGAAAAATAAGTTTGCAACGACTTCTCTAGGTAGTTTGAATCACTGCTAACGACTCTCAGTAGGAAGTTAGAAGAAGGGCGAAACCGAACCGACCCCGGATACCGGGTAGTAATCATTCATCCAAAAGGGTGAAATCACTAATTATTTGTAAGTTCCCGTATATCTTTCAATTAGAGTGTCGCCAGGAGTATTGTATTGTATTGTATTTTAGGGTAATAGGCAATGCCCTTGATGACCCTATTAAAAACGGTACATAAAATATAAACGTTAAATGTACATCTTACTAAAATTTTGTCAGTAACATATTTGTTCACGGGAAACTTTCACAATGCGGGACTGCAAAGGGTGCGGCAGGCGGTCTTCTCAGTGTACACATGAAATTTTAAGTGCAGTTATATACAATCAGCATAAAGTGCAGTCATTTGCATAGTTTGAGAGGGGGCATCTCATTAAGAGTCAGAGGTGTGTTAAGTAGGGATGAAATCAAGAAATGAAATTTATGGCTGGCCGCAGGTAGTCCTGTTGTGAAAGTCGTCGTTTATCAAATATCAAACGATCCAGCTGCCTTTTGAATACAGCGACTGTATCAGATGTCGTTGCTATATAATCCCGCTACAGGATCGTGAACTCACCAGTAGTTAGCATGAAAAGTCAAATATTGGATCCAATGTTAGTAGTTCTTCTGAGTCATTCATTGTGACAAATTATATCTTGTTGACTTTGGCGGCGTTCTATACACAGCAAAAATTCCTATGCCCTACATCACCGATTATTTGTAATTGTATCCTGTCGAGGACTGTGATAAAGAAGTTTTGCCTTCGGCAGGGAACTAAGATTCGTCCAGGTCCTTTTAGCTCGCATCCCATTTGTCCACTCTATTCATTTGGGCCGGTTATCGTAGCGAACCATTGTTAAGCCCCGTGTGTTTAGGGATTCGGTGATGTAGGTCTCAACTGCCTCCCAAACACTCCCCCAGTAGAAGCCAAAATACACCAAAGAAATTTTCAAGAGGAGTTAGTTTAGTAAAGCCTCAGAAAAGTGTCTTTCATTGGCTAATTTCGGGAATAACAGCCTAGAAGGAGGAGAGAGCGATGCACCTCCAACTTTATTGGGAGTATGGCCTTAAGTCCAAATGTCGGGACTATGACAGCGAAGACCCTGCGTTTGTGGGACCTCGCGATAAGGAAGGCCGATGTGGATACCGGGTCTCTTCTACTCCTCTTCTATGTTTGAGCGTAGAAGGAGAGGGCAAGGCAGTATCTGCAAGCTGTCAAAACCTCTCTCACAAATGCTCAGTCTGACGTCGTCTGGGTCACTAATTATGCCTCTGAGTGGGGGGTATGGGGGGCGTTGAAACGCTGCGAAGGCGGTGTTTCAGCAGAGCCGTTGGTGAATAACTAAACCCCGTTCTAAACTTGGCCAATACGTGGTTGGGATACGAATCTGCCGGGCCGGGCTGAACTACCTGGGCTAGTTATTTGCCTCTGTACATGGAGGATTACGACTTTGACGGCCTCAGTCTACTCATTTATTGACCCAGACTGCCTAAGGCGGCGAAATATTGCCAATAGGAATTATAAGAGGTCAACTTCCGTAATATTAAACTTCGAAGTCTTGGTGAGACGGGAATAAGTAGTAATGACAAGGCAGACTAGACCGTAGTTCGCGATTTGGTTGGAAGTTATCCTCTCTTCCTTGTGAGCGGCTGCTAATTAGGAGCATGTGGTTGCTGCGTTTTTCTTCTTAGTGCTTTAAGCAAAAAGCCACAGAGCTGCTCGTTCGCAGGAGTGCAGGTGGGTCGGACTGAAGCTTCCCTGATAACTGCATTTTCTATCACCGATCGGTTTCTGTTTGCTTGCTAAGGGGTGTTAATGGAAGTACGTGAACGGAAATGAAGAATGCTATAGGATGAGGGCAGACAGTGTGTCCCGTCAACTAGGTCAGAACGGAGGGATTTGAAAGGTAACAACCGACCAGTTGCACATCTTAATGGTACCTCGGCTTGCCTAGTCTCACTTCATTAACTTGTATCTGACATCAGGTACAACACCAGGCTAGGATATACTTTCCGTTTCTGGGAAATCTGCTTTTCTGCCCTGCTTAAGTCAGTTTTACTGAATAGGGATCCCGTGAAGGTGAGGCTGATTGTAACTTCATAAGGCCTTCAACTGTAGCGACGGCAGTAGTTGTTACGTAGATAATAATTGCAGCGATAATAGTAGTAGAGGCAGCAACAACCAGCTGCCCTGAGATCGGCCTCCCACTGCTGCATGTTTTGACTGACATGCCCAGGACTGGCAGGCCCGAGACTAGTATCGAAGGTGTCTTTGTGCGAACGAGACAGCCCTGAAGCGACTTACATGGTGACAGTCCCCTTCCTGTTGCTACCGCTGCTCCTCCTCCTGCTTTTACACGTGCGAGCTCACGTCGCCAAATTAATGCATTCCGCCGGCGTGGCACGTGGTGTCTAGGTCGTGTCGGTGGTGGCTGCCGCAATGGCGTTTGGGTCACTGCCGCGTGTCGGCACACGCAACAACGCGGTCACAGTCCGCGGACTGGTGGCCGCGCGCCGGGCACAGCCGCGATGCACGCCGGACCCGGTAGCCGCACCCCCTCCCCCTCCCCTACGAGAACACTCATCATGCGTGCGGATGCGTTAGTACGTCTAGCTTAGCACCACATCTGAGCACAAACGCGCACATGCGTTATGCTCAAGCGAGCACCACGCCTGCATGCGCTAATCTGGCGACCTATCTGGAGCCCGCGGATGGAGAGGCAACAATCCGGGTTGCAGGAATAATGTCGGCAGCCCATTCATGGCTTCGTGGCTTCTCGTTTTTGAAAGCTCCGAACCCAGAAAACCACACTTTCTGTCTGACAAGTTGTGGGGGGCTGAGGTGCAAGGGGGGAGATGTGGTGATCCTTTTCTTCCAATGGTCTTGCACTTGTTGATGGACTGGGGGCAACGATCTTCCCACTCCATACTGCGTGCTAAAACTTCGCCTAGACGGAGTAACAAGCCATGCGGGGAGCGCAGAGGTGAACACTTTTCCCAACACCGGGGTCGGTGCGTCAGATGGTCGAGCAATCATCACGCCAACATCCAACGCACGTGATGAAATTGCAGCAATTATCGACTCGAATGTCGGCCATCAAGCAATGATCACACCAAGTGCGACGATCCCGGATGAAGGGGGGAGCCGTGAATGTTCATAGGTATGCGGTAGCATGGCTACGGCATCCTATAAATACCGCAGCCCCTTGTGCAGCAACCACCCGTTTCTGCTTTTTTGTCTCTGATGATGGATTCGAGTAGGAATCCGAAACGTCGGGCTAGTAAAGCTCTTGTCCCGGCGATCGTGGCTCCTTCTTCAAGGGATATAACACCCTACGTGCCTTCGGGTTAGATCGTCCATTTAGGCCCCGGACACCTGTTTTATGGCTGCAAATATGAACAGCCCCCACCTGCATCTTCTGCATCCAACTTCGAGAAGTGCCTCAAACTCAGAAAATTAATGGAAATTTAGATTACGAAGCAGAAAGAAGCAGCGACTGTCCACACCCTTTCCCTCTTCTTAAACCAAGTTCCTGCATTTTTGTATGAAATCTTTGTGACCCAGTAAGTTG